ATACATCCTTAATTCTACTTTAAAATTTATATTGAATTAATTTCTTTAGCTTTTGTTGTCTGATTTAAAAGATTAAATAAATTTGGAAGTAATATTTCTACCTTAAAATCTCTAGTTTATTCAATGTCGGTACCTTTTGTTTCCACCAATTTTTAAAAATATAAGTTGAGAAATTAGATCCTGATAGTTATACATCATTAATTGTACTTTATATATCATATTAATTTCTTTAGATTTTTGTTGTCTGATTTAAAAGATTAAATAAATTTGGATATAAGATTCCAGAGATAATGTAATTGATCGTCGTTTGAGATATAATTTAACCAGGTGTGTAATACAGGTATTGTTGTGAGTTAGATAAAAGTTTGGTAATAAAATGCGTCACTGGCTCACCACACCATAACAATTAGTCCACCACGGCTATTTACTAAACGGTTTCATTCATTCATGATATATTTGATATTTATTATAGTTGATATAAATAGATAGCCATTTATGACTTAAGTACTGTAATAAACTGTGAAAAGATATCGATCATAACAACGCTGGTGATCTTAGTGAATCATATAAAATTGAGCAACATTTTTTAGGTATGCTCATATTCCCAGTATATAGACAAGAGATCTGAAGTAAATCTCAGTTTTATTGCTTCATTTTGTCAGCATTATACAAGGTGTTCATTTCAGTCATATATTCCTGTCTTGAAGGACTGGCAGTGAAATTAACTGGCTTGAGAACTTACCTTTTGACTGACTGGCAGTGAAATTGACTTTCTCGAGAACTTACCTTTTTGACTCACTGGCCGTGAAATTGATAGTCAATTTCCATGGCACAAGATCAAAATTTCAAAGAATTTAACCTTAAAATACAGTAAAATATAGTAAATCAGTGGAATTGTATAGTTTTTAATATATATTAAAAAAATTGGAAAAATATTACATATTGTAATTTGTTGTCACATTCATTGGACAAATATTTTTCTAATGCCCCCAAAATCAAAATATGTCAAAATCTTACCCAGTGGCCAAATGTTTAAAGCGAAAGCGATGTACTTATATAAATACAAAAGTTTCAAGGGTCTAATTTAAATATAAAAGTTTCAAAAATTTCATTTCAGCATGTACTGTTATAAATTTACTCTTTATAATCTGAAAGAACACATTTATTGCAAGCACTGAGTTAAATTTACAAGTTATAGGTCACGGTTTTATCTTGTTAAATATGATTATAGAAAATTGTTTATAATGAATATAATATGACCAATCTCATCCTGTCTACTGCACTTTAAATTGTCTTGGGTGAAGGTGGGTGGGGGGATTGGTCTAATGTGTGCACTTTAGTTCATAAGGTCCGTGATTTCGACTGATCCCATGCTTGTACATGACAAGGAGTAGGGTCGCCTACCAAACCTTCATGGGTTTTCTCCGGGTCCTCTGGTTTCCTGGGGGGTTGGATGGCTGAATGGTTAGCATGTGCGTGCTGTATCATAAGACCTGTCATTGAGTCAACTAGCGTGGTTTCGAATCCCCGGTTGTACGTGACAAGGAGTAAGGTCGCCTGTCCAACCTCGTGGGTTTTCTCTGGGTCCACCAGTTTCCCCCCACTGGTAAAAGACCCCTACGTGCAAGCGAATTATTGAAATAAAATTAAACCATATGTTAGTCCTGAAATGACCTAGTTTGTGTCGAGTGGAAGTTAAACCCCATTTCTCTCTCTCTCTCACTCTATCTCTCTCTCTTTCTCTCTCTCTCTCTTGTCTACTGCACTTTAAATTGTCTTGGGTGAGATTATTGGTCTAATGTGTGCACTTTAGTTCATAAGGTCCGTAATTGAGTTAAATGGGCTGGTTTCAATCCCACGCTTGTACATGAATGGGAGTAGGGTCACCTACCCAACCTTCATGGGTTTTCTCCGGGTCCTCTGGTTTCTTTCCACTGTAGGAAGAGTAGATATATATCTGCCTTAAAGATACATTATGGAAGATTACTTAAATAGCTGGCAGTTCTCACTATAATATTTAAAAACTAGATACTGTAAAGGCAATTTGCTAAAAATTTCAGTCGAATTGATCCACTATGACCCCAGATTTTAGCAATTGAATATTGGGGCTAGCCTCGATCATCATTACTAAAGTCGGTGGATAATAAAAATTAATTGTTTCGATTATACATTTTTTGATTTAATTATAAAGTCGAACAGCAAATCGGAACGTAATCCAATAAACATCGCAGGCTAGTGATGCCATCGAGAGTTGATTATGGTCTGGATAAGTTAATTAATATCTAATTGATAATTTAGATAACATTTCAGGCCTAAAGAAAGACCTGCAATAGGCAGATTTAGCTCTTGCATAATGTATGTTTAACAAAATATATGGTTTATTATCAGGCATACAGCAATGTACTAAAAGGGAAGTTTTGCCAGGACAACATACCTACGTATTATGATATATCCATAACTATTCTTATGAACATGTAATAAAGTTGCAATTTTTACTCAACATTGCCCTGTGTTTTTGTTAGGGAAATCCTTAGAATAGGTAAAAAAAACTGTTTCAATTACTATACTAAGAGCACTTTTATGTGCACCACTCATCTTTTTAAGAAATCATATATCCGTCACTGCTAGGTTGTTAGCTTGTTGATTCTGTGACCTGCTTTTACAGATTTGTGGCCTTTAAAAGTAATTTCCGTTACTCGACCTTATGATTATCACTTATAAATGGTAATTCCACCTGTATTAAAATAAATCAGAAACCCCATCTCTGTAAAACACGTTGGTTCATCATAGAAACATCAGCTGGTTGGATATAAACAGTTAAATTTATTTGATGTACCATATCTGAATTTGTCTCCAGTGGACATCAAACAGATCTGTTATTTCATGTATCTAGATTCTAGATAGCCTACCCTATATCGAAGCAAGGTACATGAAACAAGATGTGTTAAAAGTAAAAGTGCTGTGGTGAAAATGTGATTTCTACCAATCTGACTAAAACACAGATCCTATTTCGTTTCGTTTTTATAGTTCATAATTTCATTTTACTTGTCATTACTACACTAGGATCTGGAAGTGTTGTTATCATTTGTGTTCTGAATGGTGTGAGGGCTTAGCCAATGAAATGGTCTGTTACGGCGAGCTTTAGGTGTGTTTTGCATGGAACTGTGGGTAAACCACTAGTAATATCAATCCTGATTGGCTAATCAAATGTCTGACGTCATAGGTCAAAAGCCGCTTGTATGTCCCCTGACGTGACCTATCGCTACATCTGGTCAGATCTTTATGTAGTGTAGGCCATCGACGAAAGTATAAAAAAAACGAAACGAAATATAGATCTGTATTTGAATCAGATTGTGATTTATATCTTTGTGCAAAGACAGTTGATAAAGGTTATATCATATTTACCGGTAAATATTGCTGATATATCATATTCAAATATTGCTGGTCTTCATTCAAGTGATTTGTGAAAGTTGCTGGTCTTCATTCAAGTGATTTGTGAAAGTTGCTGATCTCTATTCAAGTGATTTGTGAAAGTTGCAGGTCTTTATTCAAATGATTTGTGAAAGTGAATCTCTTAAAGGAATATTCAATCAGAAGAGAGGGGATTAAAATTTTGGTTTTATGTGAAATATGAAGATTTCTGTCTCTTTTTCATCAAAACTTATTACCTTAATCACAACTTGGCAGGATAATACATGTTTTAAAATGACATGAATTCCAACCATATATAAGTCAGTTAATTCATGTTGTAAAATAATATGAATTCCAGACATATAGTTAGCTAATACATGTGGTAAAAGACAAGTCTTGAACCCAGTGTTAGTTTTATGTGGAACATTTCCGTGGCATCATCATCAAGCCGTCTATTTATAGCCCTGGATGGTATTTTGTAGTAAAAATATTGATCCGGTCTCACAACTAGGAGTATAATCGAGCAAGTTACCGCCACTAGAATATTTTAACTTGTCCCCGATTTATTCTCTCTATGTGAGAAGGTTTTATATCAGAATAATATTTCTTGAGTTTGCTTCTGGAATAACGAAACGATCTGCCCTAGCTTGCCCTCGTTTCTTAACGCAGAATTGGATTAAAAACTGATGATTTTCTTTGTGTGGTGATTGACCGTCCGTGGATGTAAACTTGTTCGATCTGGATTTGTGATCTGTTGCTTCCTAATTTATTTCGGAATTCCAAACCAAAAATCAGAATTGGTAAAAAGGGGCTAAAACTCCCAGGTTATTGGTATAGCGATTGCTAGTTGTGAGTCGAGGACACGACTGCGAACATTTCTCTATTTTATTGCATGATGTGATGCAAGAAAATTTTTTTATTTGAAACGTGTATGCATTATTAATCTTGTGTGTTTAGCATTTAGATTGAAGGAGGTTTTTTCATGTTAGAAGACATAACATAAGGAGCTTATCTATCTGGTGATTAAACGGAACATATTTATAGAACAGTATTTATATAGCGACAGACCTCCAATTACGCGTCCATATAAGGATTGACACGAAATCCTTTGGAACTGTATAAATTCTGCATTATCTTTTTGGGCATTTTGTTCATGATCTTCCAGTTAGTAATGTGTCTAGAGGACATTGATGAAGGATTGATCACATTTCTGTGTATCTAATTTGTCCGAAAATCACAAGGAAAACAGCATTTTTGAAGTTGCACCGTTTGGGTTTTAAGTATAATTTGTCTGTGAATGCTGCATCCTTGCTGGATTGAGTTTAACATCTGCTTCCACAACAAGGGATATTGCAGACAAGGATTAGAAAAATAAGAACTTGTTCCTGTTCTGTGAACCGTGTGTTGCTATAAAATTTATAGAATATAGTACACTTCATGTAGATTGGTTCAAAAATAAGAGATATTGCAGACCACAATTAGAAGAATAAAATTGCTCTTGTTCTGTGAACATTGTGAGGATATAGAATTTATACAATTTAATCCACTGCACTGTTTACAATTTTTATGAGTGGAATAATAAAATCGTTCTCTACATAAAACTGAGTGGATGTTATGAAGCTGGATCAATTATTATGCTGAACTAATTAGCTGTTAATAGGATAATTAGCTCATGTTACAGAAATACTGAATTTTTTATAACCGGGGATAAAATTAATACCAGTTTATTTCTAGAATGGATTGTACGACTTGAGTTTACTTCTAGAAAAGGATTTTACGACTTGAGTTTACTTATAGAAAGCATAAAACAACTTGAGTTTATTTCTAGAAAGTATCGAACAACTTGAGTTTACTTCTAGACAGCACGGAACTACTAGAGGTTACTGCTAGAAAGCATTGAACAACTTGAGTTTACTTCTAGAAAGCATTGAACAACCTCACAATGGCTCAAAGATCACCATCCAGGAGTATCATTCGTCTGTTTTCATATTTTTTTTTGTTTCATTAAATTCTTTTTCTTTTTTTATTGAAACAGGGGGTGTCAATCAAAGACCCATTCCTAAAAACAAATGTTGATTCCCAACTGTCTGAGGATCTTTCAATGTTTTTTTCGTCTCATCCAAAAGACATACCCACCAATGTAACAGGGGATGCCAATCAAAGTTCCTTGAATAAAGATAAATTTTGATTTGCAACTGTCAAGGGATCTTTAACATGGTGCCAATGATATACGTGGGTCGTCAGAATTTTGTCACATCAAAAAGACATACCTACCAATATATCATGTAAAAATAAAAGAATTACAAACAGGTGGTTGCCCTTTCCAAAAACCCTGTAGATTGTTTTAAGTCTTGTCAAATCTCCAGCACCTGTATGTGTTAACAAACTGATCTGGCATAAGTCTCCAAGTGCACAAGTCTTCAGAATTTTTCAGAAAATTATCCTTTAAGTAAAATGTACAAATAATTAGCGAAGCTTATTCTTTCTAAAAACTTTCCAGGGATAAATGATGTTGTCATAAAATATGTGTCCCACATGGTATAAATGTATCATGTCGTCATATAATGTGTCCCACATTGTATAAATGTATTATGTCGTCATATGTGTCTTACATTGTATAAATGTATTATGTTGTCATATGTGTCCCTCATTGTATAAATGTATTATGATTGTCTGTTGCAGCTAAACCAACAACCCCACGAACACCACCAGCCGTCTCGACACCATCCCCTAGACCAAGTACTAACGTTAAATCAAAGATTGGATCACTAGATAAAGCACACCATACACCTGGTGGTGGACATGTAAGTACTCTATTAGATCAACTTTATATTAGTAAGTTCAAAAGAACAGCACATAAACACAACACAGAACCAATAAGACAAACATGTGGACAACACATACAACACAACACAGAAACCAATACGACAAACCCATGGACGACATGTACAACATACACAGAAACCAATACAAGAAACCTGTGGCCAACACAACACAGAAACCAGTAAGACAAACCCATGGACGACATGTACAACATACACAGAAACCAATATGACAAACCCGTGGATGACACATACAACAACACAGAAACCAATATGACAAACCCATGGACGACATGTACAACATACACAGAAACCAATACAACAAACCCATGGACAACACATACAACACAACACAGAAACCAATTAGACAAACCCATGGACAACACATACAACACAAGACAGAACCAATTAGACAAACAAACACATACAACACAACAGAGAAACCAATACGACAAACCTGTGGGCAACACATGCAACACAAGACAGAAACCAATACAACAAACCTGTGGACGACACATATAAACAAAAACCAGTAAGACAAACCCATGTACAACACATTCAACACAAACAGAACCAATAAGACAAACACATAGACAACACATACAACACACAGGCATTTCAAGCAATAAACAACAAAACTACCATCAATTTCAATAAATAATACAGGAACACCTCATAGACTCTAAGACAACACAGTTAGAGACGGCTTCCTAGGACCGTGCATAACTCGTAAGATGTACATAAAACAATAGGGTACACTACTGTACTCCAATTCAATATCAGGGGGGTTGGATAGCCGAATGGTTAACGTGCGCGCTTTATCAAAAGGTATGTCATTGAGTTAACTGGTGTGGTTTGAATTCTTCAGTTTTACGTGACAACCTTGTGGGTTTTCTCCGGATCCTGCCACTGGTAAAGCCCCTACACACAAGTGAATTATTAAAATAAAATTTAACTATATATTAGTCTAGTGGACATTAAACCCCATTTTTCTATCACTCTCATTTGATTCCTTTCTCTTGACAAGTTTGGGATGTGATCTTTTTTTGGCGCCAGAGAAAGAAATGTTCAGAAAATGGTACAGAATTTTTTAAATTTATATAGGATAATATCTGAAATCAATGAATTGATCTATAGAATTTTACGTCTCAAGATATAAGATAAACAATTTAAGCATTAGACCTGTCTGTCTGTCCTTGGTATTATTGGAATAACTGTCACTATGGTTACCAGAGTATCAGGAGACTATCCAGTTGCTATGGTACTGTATAATATCAGTGAAGTGGATGGCATATCTAATTCAAGGCTGTCAGACCCAGTGGCTCCATTCACAGTGATAAAGCGGTCCCCACTTTTTATGTTGGTTGGTCGTCACTGAGCTAATAATTATTGTGTTATATAATTCATGGCCACTTCAGATATTTCCTGCCCTGAACAAAATAATTAATCTTTTGTTGGATTAGAGAATTTATGAATCGTCTTCCATTGATAGCATTTAACATTGCTGATATTGTCATTTACATTTTTTGGATAATTTCTGATTTTTGATGGATTAACAAAATGAAATGGGGTTTAACGTTCTACAGTTCTGCTCCGACTGGGCTATTGAAGTTGGGCATATGCCATACAGTGTGCTATGAGGGAAATTTGGCCCAGGCAGCAGCAGCACTATGGCCACTCTTATATTGAATTCCAACTGTCAAGGGGTCTTTTACGTGCACTCCAATGTGTACATGGGACCTATTTTTTGTCCCATCCAAATGACTTAGACAGCTGTCCTTGTCAGGCCCTTTGTCATGCACCACTAATGGATAAATCAACAATAAAGTGTATTCAATTAATAATGAAAACAAATATCAAAGGCAGATAGTCTTCCGACTTGTATTAAATCATATTAAAACGAGCCCCGTCAAGAGATTTTATCCAATACTTATAGATGGGTGGCACTGGTTTGTTTATATAAGGTACCACAGTGGCTCAGTGAGTAAGATGTTGGCTCACTAACCTGGAGGTCCTGTGTTCGATCCCTGCGTTGGACAAGAATGTTTATCAGGATTTCCCGGCGTGCTCCCCCTTGTCAGTAGTGTAGGACAAAGGGTCTGACAAGGGACAACGTATAATTATTTGGATGGAATGAAAAACCAAGGTCCTGTGTACACATTGGCATGCACGTTAAAGGACCCTTTACAGCTGGAATGTGAAATAAATGTAGGCCATAATGTCGCCGCATGGGCAAAATTCCCCTTATAGTACAAAGCATGACGTATGCTCGTCTTCATTTGCCCAGTAGGAGTAGAACAGTAGAACGTTAAACACCATTTCATTTTTGTAAATACTGAATGGAAAAGCCATTATGGACTGATATTTCACTTAAAAATTCAACTTTCACAATATTGTAGTTGGTAAAGGATTCAAAATAATTCCAATGACGATAGAATTTAAGTGAAATGATTTTGAAATTCAGGTATTCGACAAAAATAAAGATACAAGAAAGAAAATTTAATTCTCAGGCCACCACTGATCAATCTGATTAAAATACATATTTATATTTTGTTTCTTTTATACTTTTGATGGCCTACACTACATGAAGATCTGACATGTTGTACTGGAAGGTCACATCAGGGGTCAACGGCTTTTGACCCTATGATGTCAGACATTGATTAATCAATGAGCATTGACGTTTCTAGTGGTTTACCCACAGTTCCGTGCAGCACACGCCAAAAAGTCGCCGTAACAGATTGTTTCATTGGCTAATCCCTCACGCCATCTAGAACCCGGCCAGTAACCAGCCCCCTCCCCCACCTGCAAAAAGTATCCTCTCCCCCCCCCCCCCAAAAAAACTCCTAGATATACAGTGTCCGCAAATTTTACAGCACCACTGAGAACACTTCCCGCCCCCTTGTTGCTCTGAGCTAGTTACGAGCTGTCAAGAATGCAGGTTATATAACAATTCTTCCAGATCCTAGTGTAGTAAAGACAAATAAAACCAAATTTTGAACTATAAAAAATGAAACGAAATAGGATCTGTGTTTCTATCAGATTGGATCACTGATATGAATGTTTAAAAAGACCTGTGGATACTGCGCATTACCACCCAGATATCATACAAATATTAGTTCAACTTTTAGTCAATTTCCTATTTTTCTAATGACAATATTGAATCATATGAGTGTTATATAAAGGATTGAAAGGGAAGAATGATTATTGTTTCTGTTTCTAATCATGAGCTCACGGAATTCAAATATTGACGATATATTACCAGTTTATGAATATTGATGAGATTTATTGGTCGATAAAACATTGGTTTTCACCTTTGAACAATGTAGCGTATGCTGCTGCTTAAAGTAGCGTTAATAAGCTTGACTAACAAAATATTTAAAACACAGATCCTATTTCGTTTCGTTTTTTATAGTTCAAAATTTGGTTTTATTTGTCTTTCTACACTAGGATCTGGTTGATGTGAGGAATTAGCCAATTAAACGGTCTGCACGGAACTGTGCGTAAACCCATCAAAACGTCAACGCTGATTGATTAATCATCGAAAGTATAAAAAAACAAAACGAAATATACATCTGTATTTGAATTAGATTCTTCGACTACAATTGTGTTGGCCATAATAAATCATCACAACAGCGCTTTAGTAAAATGTCAAGGTCAAGAAGACCAGGCTACTAAATAATTCTGATATGGAATATTGACAATTATTCGATATCATTCCATCAATTAATTATTCTAATCTCAACACTCTGACATTTTTATACCAGACTTCTATAAAGATTTTAGGGTCATAAATATGAATAAAGGTTATGTATTGCAGCTCAAATTGTAATTCAGAACAACCAAGTACAATGTATTAAAAACTGTTTTGCATATGTTTAAAGGCTCAATACCACTCTTGTTGTAACTGAAAAATATGTCCCAATCTTTATTCTGGTCAACAAATTGTACTATTTTACTATATTCCAATTAATTGTTGATACAAATTTCATCTTAACACACCTAATTTAAAAAATTGGAAAAATTCAACTAAATGATTTGAAAAGCCTAGCGTAAACCTTTTCAAATGTGACTTGGATTTAAAAATATTTTCGAACCCTTTTGGACAAGTAAAATTGGATTTAATGGTTAATTTACACAACAGGTAGGAGGACATTTAAACAACTAATACTTAGAATAAGGCTATTATTTATTTTCTGGGGCTGTCAAGGCAGCAAGAGTGTTATTGTCCCTTTAAATAATTTATTGGACCATGCACTTTAGATCACAAGGTTTGTTACGTGGTTTCGTTCCGAAGCTTGTACGTGACAAGGAGTAGGGTCTCTGTCCAACTATGTTGGTTTTCTCTGGGTCCCACAGTTTCCTCCCACTGCCAGTCGAGTGGATGTTGAACCTCATTTCACTATCTCTCTCGTATTGAGGGGGGTGGATGGCTGAATGGTTTAGCGCGTGCATGTTGTATCATAAGGTCTGTCAATGAGTCAACTGGCGTGGTTTCGATTCCATGGTTGTATGTGACAAGGAGAATGGTTGCCTTCCAACCTTGTGGATTTTCTCCGGGTCCTCTGTTTTTCTCCCACTGCTAAAGACCCCTACGAGCAAGTGAATTATTGAAATAAAATTGAACCATATGTTAGTCCCGAAATGACCTAGTTTGTGTCGGGATGTTAAACTCTCTCTCTCTCTCTCTCTCTCTCTCTCTCTCTTGTAACTACCATATATGTATTGATTTGTTATTGATAGCCCTAATATTAATTAATACACTAAAGAGATCACAATGTCAACTAAGAAATATGTGTCATTTATCGAACCTTTCAACCAAGTTAATGAAATAAAAAAAACGTAATTGATTATAAACTCTTATCAATAGAACCCAAATATACCTCTGTCACAAGAGTAGTTCAATTATCCAATAAATTACTTATTGAATTTCATAGTCTGGCCTTAATCTATTTTGATATTTTTTTTGTTATCACAATAAAATG